GACCCCCCCCCCCCCCCCCCCCCCATGCGTGGTAAACTGTTTGCCTCCTGCCTGGTGCAGTGATGTGCCCGACATATTCTCGCGGTGTGAACCTCTCGCCAGTTTGGACAAACGGCATCCCAGTTGGTAACATCCCTTTGCAAGGTAGAGCAGCACGCTGGCGTGACCCCCATTGATAGGGGGTGCCTCTTCAGCTTCAAAGCTGCCAGCACTTGTGTGTGCACGTGCTGCCTTCCAATGCATATGCTACTCTTGCAGGGCAAGCCCTGTCCAACGCGACATCCATGTTCGATACCTCTGCAACTCCTGGCGACTGCTGCCGCGCATGCACCGCTTTCTTTGCATGCTACGCTTGGACATGGAAGGATGTCGGTCACTGCAGAATCAACGGCGAGCTGCAAACAACTCCATGCTGCATGTTCAAGGTGGCACCGCTCTAACAGCCCGCTTCAGCAGCTTCCACTGCTGGCCTGCCCCCACCAACTGACGTTCAAGCCCCTCATCTCCAAGCTTGGTGCGGCGCCCCTGTGCAGGCAGTGGCGGGCTGGACCATCAAGTATGAGGGAGACGATGCCGATTTCTATGCCAGTGGGCTGTCTGCTTCCCTGCCTAATGCTCAGTGCACCGACATTAGGGAGAACATGGATGCATGGGGTGGTGACATGCGCACCGACGATGAGCATGAGGACACGGTGGTGGCTGCCGCCACCCCTGAGGAGTGCTGCAATTTCTGCAAGGCTTTCATCGGCTGCGAAGCATGGTGAGACCTGGCTCATTTTTCAATTCATCGCTCCTGCACGCCGCCACACAGGAGGCTGCCTAACACATTCCTCTGCTGCCATGCGCCTAAAAGGACGATCACTGAGCCCTCCAATTGCGAGGACAGGCTGGGCAGTGACAACAAAGGCTGCTGTTTTCTCAAGGTGGGCCCCGCTGCTCCTCACTCGCTGCTGCGTGCTGATGCTGCTTCGGCACCAAAGATGAGCGGCAGGGTGGTGTCGGTGCATGCACAAGAGCACAAAGGAGCACAGTTGCAACCACCCCTGACCCCCTGCAGACGCACGGCTACAACGATCAGCCTATGGATGGCGCAACAAGTGGCAAGCTGGCCTGGTCCTCCTAGGCACTTGCACCCCACCCCAGCCACTCACGACCACCACCACTAACTAAGTCGTCTTGCGGGATGTTTGGAAGATGCGGGTGACATTGCATTCGGCTCATTTCCAAACCAGCTCACTGTTTTCAGGGCTGCACTGCTTTCTGCCCCCCAAAATGCCGCACAATTTCTGCTAATTGTCTGCGAGCTGGTGATATCTACGACCCTGCTGAGCGGCTGATCCTGAGCTGCCAACACCTGTTTGGCGCGCCTCCTGGCTGTCGGCCCAAACTTAATTCAAACCTTAATTCAAACCTTAATTCAAACCTTAATTCAAACCTTAATTCATTCATTCATTCATTCATTCAGCACACAGACCGGCCGCCTCTTGCTCGAGGGCGGCCCACTTTGGCCTGGGCAGCCCGGGCCGCCCTCCCCCCGGGCGCATGTTCAGTGTTGGAGGGGTGTGCCCAGCGATAGGGGGCCCCTGAAGGCATGCGCCGAGGCCGGGAAGCGTGGTTCGGCGCTGCTGCACGCTTGGCGACTTGAACAGAACCGCGTGCCGCCGAGCTGCGGCTGCAGTTTCCGGCCCACAGTCTACGGCCGCAGCCACGGGACTCGGCGGCACGGCGTTTGGGCCCAAGCTTGCTGCTGCCGCCGCCGTGCCTGGGGGGCAGCGCGGCGGCGGCGGCGGCACGCTGCGACGCCCCCGTGCCGCCGAGCTGCGGCCGTACCTTCCTGCCAGAAGCCCACGGCCACAGCCACGGGACTCGGCGGCACGGCGTTTCGGTCCACGGCTTGCTGCCGCTGCCGTCGCAGGGCTGCTGCCTGCGGCGGCGGCGGCACGGCGGTTGGGTCCACGGCTTGCTGCCGCTGCCGCCGCCGCAGGGGTGCTGCCTGCGGCGGCGGCGGTAGCGCACGTGGCAACCCCCGCGCTTCCTTGCCTCCCATCCACCGGACCCCGTCCTGCGCTTCACTTTGTTTCGGGAGGGGCTGCTCACTGCTCATTGCTCATTGCTCATCGCACACTGCTCAACGCTCATTGCCCTATATCCCACCCAGCCGCAGGACTCCACTGCCGCCCGCGCCCCGCCCCATCTGGCCGCTTGCGCGCCCCATCCCCCCTCGATGGGGCCCGCCCACACCGGGGCCTCCCCCCTCCCGCCCACTGCTTTCTCAACGGCCCCGAGCCGGGGCTGCCCTCATTGCATACATAGTGCGCCTTTCCCTGCTTTTCTAGTGACCTAGCGTTCCGCACTGCCATTTGGCCAGCCCATGCTCCCGTACCGTTGCGTTTCTCCCCAATGCGCCATGCCACTTTGCCAGTCATACACACGTTTCGATGCGTGCCCTGTCAGCTGCTTGCGTTGCATGTCGCCTTGCTCCACCCTTGTTTTATTGCTTTCTCTGCTTTCGCCCGGTTCCCGTCCCGTTTCGGCGGGGAGTCTATGTTGCAAGTTAGTTCTTGCTTTACCAGACTTTAAGCCCACACAAGCACAAGCAAACCTGCCTGCCCTCTTTTCATTTTCCATAATACTGCCGGTGGTTGACTAGGCCGTCCTGGCTGGCAACAACGCCCATTTCTGTGCCAGGGAGGACCAGGCAGCAGGCCTGCCATCCATCCCACACCGCCTCCAAGTGATGTTGCAATGTGCATCAGGGCACATGTGTTGCCCGCTGATGTGGCACCTCCCCCGATTCGTCTGGCTCATCAGGCACGCTCTCTCCCGCGATCCCTCCCTTTCCTTCGCCTTTCAGAGTCTCTAAGGCTTCTATTTCTCCCCTCCCGCACCCCGCAGCTGCCGCAAATTTAAAATTATGAACCAACCTGTCATCCTTTATGCCTTAGAACGGCGCCAAAACGGCGCCAAGAATGTGTTTCTCACTAAGTCAGATGTAGAGGGCATCATCCGGATCAAGCAGGGCGACCAGCAGGCGCCCTCAGGCCGGCGGCGGCGGGGTGCGGGAGGGGGGGCGGCAGTGCAGGGCGGCGCCAAGAACTACAGCAAGAAGGTGCTGCAGTTCTTCCAGGTGCTGAAGGGCGCTGGCGGTCAGGACATCCTGTGCCGCTGCGTCAAGCGCAGCGGAGAGTGGCGGTGGTGCCCCGTGGTGCCGCTCGAGGAGCTGCCCCGAGTGATCAAGGAGCACCACGAGCGGGCGACTGGCTTCAGCGGTGTGGAGAAGCTGTACACACATGTGAGTGATACAAGGGGTGCAATGATGCCGCCAGACCAACTGGAGAGTGCTCTGCATCAGGCAGCAACCGGATGCATCGCAGCAAGCACGGGGGGTGCGGCACGGCCAAGGTGGCGCTGCCCTCCTCTCCATCTATCCCTCCTTCCCTCCCTCACGCCGCGCACTCCCCTGGTCCTCCTTTGCTGCTCTGCTGCCTTTCCTGCAGCTGGCCTACAACGCACCCACCGAGCTGGCAGCTGGTGCTGAC